TTTAAATCATGTTGATAGTGATATTAATGAGAAATCATATTAAAGTTGATATATATGAGGGAATTTTGATATATAAACATTTATAAAAAATTGTCTTGTGGCTTAGGCTGATATTAACGGGGGTCACCTGTATTTTAACAGGGATCAAATATTATTATTCAAATATTTTTGTTAAATAATTGTTATTGGATTCTAAACTATTTGCATCGTAAAATTACATTTTACATTATATTTATATATCATTATCAAACATTAAATTATTAACATATGTAATCTTAAATTACAAAAATCTCGTAATTGCCTCATCAATGTCCATATCGTCATTAGTTTCATCAGTTGGTACTCCCCATCCACCACCCCCTGGCGTACAAATCACAACTCGATCTCCCACACCAACTTTAAAACTATTTTTACCACCTAAATTAAGTACTCGGTTTTTCCCTTTAATTTTGTCTTTACGAATCCAAAGGTTCAATCCCTTTGCACCATCTTTACCACCTCTTAATCCGTATGGATGGAATACTCTTCTTTCCGTAAGTAGACTCACTTGAAGTGGCTCACGGAATTCAAGATCACGGATCACTCCATTGCCGCCTCTATGCAAACCCTTACCACCTGAGCCTATATATTATAAATAAAAATTGGTATAAATATAGATAAATAGGTCAATAAATTTCGTGAAATTTATAAGAAATGTACCTCTACGAAGTGAGAACTCGCGTAACATAACCGCATGATCTAATCTTCGTTCGATTATCTCTGGATCCGTTATCCTCGTATTTGTCATATGCTAGAAAAATCATTAAGACCAGTCAGATATACCATATATGAAGTGGGTGATAATAAATAACACTAATAATCACATACCACATGCACACCAGACTGACCATCCCATGTTTCACCAGCACCGCTACCTATAAATCAAAATACATGATTCATATACTTTTGTTCATTAAATCAGACTTAATTATAATTTACCTCCAGCAATTGTTTCATAATATCCCCATCCATCAACCATTTTTCCATCTACTTTTTTCCCATCTTTTCCGAATGTCAAATTATTACAATCTCCTTGGCTTGCGGCGCATGCTTGGAATGCTTTGAGAATAACATCGACAAGGCGCTGTGATGTTAGCACATTACCACCAACGACAGCTGCCTCGTCAGATGGATTTAATATAGACTTTGGAGGAATTCTAATATCTATCGGTGCAAGACAACCTTGGTTTAGTGGAATATTTACATCCACAAGGCAGCGGAGGCAATATATAATCGCACTGAAAGTGACCTAAGATTACAAAATAATTATTATATACGAGCTTGAGGCTAAAAAAAAAAAAGGATAGAATTGCAACGTACTGAAGGTGGTGCATTGGTATTGGCTGAAATTAAGAAATAACAAATAGAAAATAAATACATTAGTTATTTTTTTATTTTTTATTTTTTTTTTAAGTTATGCATCCCTACCATAAACTTCAGGACCAGTTCCAGAAAAATCAAATATAGCAGACCCCTCTTTCTCATCAATCTCTATTTGTAATTCAATAGGTGTTCCATCATCCATGTAATCGGTCGCCTTTAAAATATTATTTCCTAATCGATGACTTATATTTTTCAAGAGGTTCCTAACTGATAATTCGGCATTCTTTCTAATATATATCATATAAGCTTGAACCACATCCAAACCATATTCTTGAATTAATGCTTTCACAAGATTAATACCTTTATGGTTTGCGGCTACTTGAGCTTTAATATCTGAAATGTTATCACGGAGACATCTTGTCCCAGAACATTTTGGATATCGAGCAGGTTCGTGCAATAAAATATTGGTAAGACCATCAATATCAAATGTTCCTTTTGAAACGAGTTTAAATGATTTGACAGCAGCACCTTCTTCAAATAATTCTTTTGAATGTGGTGGCATAGAACCTAGATATTGAAGAATAACATGCGTTAGATTATATGATTTGAATTTCGTAATACTGTAATAGGGTTCGATAAAATAATTTCATACCAGGTAAAATACCACCAATATCCGCATGATGACCTCTTGACGCAACAAAAAATACGATTTTTCCTTCATTGAATACTGGGGTTATTACAGTAATATCTGTAAACCAGAAGTAATGAGTTCAATGAGATAAAAATCATTGCTTATATAAAAAATATGATAATTTGAAATCAATAATTGCCTGGTAAATGAGAGCCACCAGCTTGCGGGTGATTGATCATAATTACATCACCATCTTCTAGTGTACCATTGTAATACTCCATTTGATACTTAACCGCATGACTTAAGCTCCCCAAATGAACTGGAATATGTGGAGCTGGAAAGAAAATATCAAACAATCATGTATGCTTTTCATAAGCAGAGTGTTAATTAATTAATATCAATATGGGACATACCATTTGCGACCAATCCTCCATCAGCTCCAAATAGAGCACAAGAAAAATCTAATCTTTCTTTAATATTTGTTGAGACAGCTGTCTTCTGTAAAGCGTTTCCCATTTGCTCAGCGATACTCATGAATCGATGCTCAAATATAGATAATTGAATCGGATCAGATTCAGTAGTTACTTTTGTTCTAATGCCATCCCCAACGGTAATAAACACGTGAGAAGTTGTAATCAACGCATTACACGTCGGTGCAACGAGAATAGTTGAGTTCGAGTCCATAATCATTGCTGGTCCGACAATCTTATTTCCAATTTTCAGTTTATCCAAAAGATAAAGAGGAGTTTCTACACGTCCGCTTTCAAAATAAACGGACACCGTACTGTCGCATTGGTCTTCTGATATTGGTATAGGACTAATACTTTTTATCTCATCAAATACATCATGTTGAGTTATTCCAAAACCTTTGCCTATACCACGGATCCTTATATCATCCACCAAAATTTTTCGATCAGGAAAATTGAAACCGAATTCTTGCTTATACTGCACGGCAAAAGCTTGAGCGAAATCCCATGAATCTTTAGGTTTTAAGGTCATAATTGCGAAATCGGTTCCCTGATATCGTAAATTAAGATAAATATGATGTTGAATACATGATTCATCAAAACCTTGCGATTTTAGTTCCTTTGTGCATGTTTCACAAAGGGCATTAATTTTTTCAATTAATTGCGGTAACGAGTCATCTGAATAAGTTTTTGAACAAGGCTCTTGAACTTCATTAACAACATCAGCCAATGCTAAACCGTATGCTGACAATATCGAACTATATCGATGAATTAGGATTTTCTTGATGCCCAGATTTTGTGCGATTGCGCATGCATGTTGACCACCAGCACCGCCAAAACATGCGAGAATATGTTTTGAAGTATCATATCCTTTTGCTTCAGTTAAAGCACGAATGGGACGACACATTGCTTCGTTTGCAACTTTAATAAATCTAGTTATTTTAAATAATGAAGATGTTTAACGGTTATCTTGTCCAAAATTTATTTAAATCATGTCAAACTTACCCGTATGCTATCTCGTCTAAACTCATTTTTTTATCATCACCTACAAAAGCATTAATCTCTTCTGCAAGCAATTGGAATTTGAGACGAGTAGCCTCCACATCCAAGGGTTGATCCTCTGAAGGACCAAATATTTTGGGGAAATAATCGATATTTAGTCGGCCTAGCATTAAGTTTGCATCAGTTACAGTCAAAGGGCCGTTCTTTCTGTATATATATATATATATATATATAAACATAATGAATATCATCCGTAAATGTTAATAAATATAATTTAACAATGTTCAAATATTCACATACCTGTAACATGTAGGTCCCGGATGTGCACCAGCGCTCTAAAAAAAAAAAAAAAAAAAAAAATGAAAAAGATATAAACTAAGATATTTCATAAACGTACTCAGAGCTTCGGATAGATCGTCAAATTGAACTGAACAATTTGAATCATGTTGAATAAGTTCTAATGTTATCAACCTATGATTTAAATTCAATACTCGAATTTGATAATTCGTATCCAAACTCTCAATTATTATATTCTAATTATGCAAATAAACAGTACCTCTGGTCCAACAACAAACAATCCATTACGAAAGAACAATTGCGAACCACCACCAGCTGCAACCTGCAAATAAAAGCTTCGTGTAAATTTAGAAATTTCTTAATGCCAAAATCAAAAACAATTTATAAAAAACTTTACTGTATTTATATCAAGTTGAGGTGCTTGGATGGTTATTCCCGCAGTAGTCGTTTCAAAAACATGTTCATATAGACCATCAAATCGAGAAACGTCTAAATTTGAACGATAATGTAATACTTGTTTCGAAAAAAAGTCTATTACCTTAATATAAAACACAAACCTGTACTAGTACCTCCCATATCGAAACCAATTGCTGGATCACGTTCATTCTCACTAAATGATGTTGATGCGTAGCCTGACCATAAATTCACGATTAATTAACAAGCGAATGCGTCAAAACACAACATTAATGAGGTAAAGTACTAACCAACGACACCGCCCGCGGGTCCTGACAGTATGGCCTTAAATCCAGAGAATTTATTAACTGGTACAAGACCACCATCACTTTGCATAAATTCTAGCCTTGTATTTTTTTCCATGTTTTCATCGAATCCAGAAATGAACCCATCAATGTATTTACGAATACATGGTGTTAGGTACGCATCAGCCGTTGAGGATGTACCACGAGGTACAATTTTAATCATTGGCATTATAGCAGAAGAAAGGGAAATATGTGTAAATCCGACTGTGGACGCTATTGAACCTAATAAACGTTCATGATCTTTTGTTTCATAATATTAATTGAATTATAAAACAGTTAGTTATTATAAGGAATTTTTAAATAGAAATGATGACAATCTTTATGTTTACCTGGAAATGTGTACGAATGCATTAGGCATATCGCGATGCTTCGAAATCCATCCTCATATAATGATTGTAGATCATTCTTTATCTTGTTAGTATCTAATTGAATTAAAGATATGCTTAGCACTTGTAGCATGAACTCATGTATAATTCATGTGTAAAATTTATGTACCTGGTTTTTGAAGTACCTTTACATATTCTCCAGAAATGCCTTTAATTATATCGGCACCGTCATTTGCTAGATCAGCCGGTGGCTGTGATTCATCCCCGATCAAGGTTACACTATTTTTACATGAGAAAATAATTTGATAACTCGAAACACGTTGGAAAAGTAACATATCAATGGATAAAGTTACGATACCGCTCATCTATTTCTACAACTCGTTGATACAAAACGTCGGGTTTGTGGATGGAAAGATCAAATATTTTGGGACGAGCCTGATTTCCTGTTTATCAATAATAAATTTATGTTAAAATACAATTCGACTGATAAGAAAGGAATTGCTCAATATATGTATAATTATTAATACCGATCAATAATAAATCCTGAAATAACATGTTTAAAAGTAATCAAATTTTAGCACTCTATGACAATTAAAACCGTATCTTTATCAGAACAGAAAGAGTAAACCATACCTTAAAACCTTTGGTAATCAACAGTGCACATTTTTCTCCTTTCCTTTCTAATAGAGCATTGGTAGCAACGGTCGTTCCCATTCGAATTAACTCTAAAAATCAGAAATATCAAACATAATTTATAAAATCTTCAAACAGGTACAAACAACTTGCAATTTTCTTTACACAATACCTATAAGAGAGGTGTCCACTGGTTTATTTCTCGGGTGAGATTTTCCGGTAGCAATTTCTAATATTCTTCTAATACCTTCGCGAGGAGCGTCAGGGTAATTCTGAGGATCATCACTTAAAAGTTTTATTACAATTTCACGTCTTCCTGTTGGGTATTCTTTGGAAGTTGGAACTGGGACTATACCGATACAATCGGTAAACGTACCACCTCTATCGATACTTATTCTTATTCCTGGACCTTGTCTTATTGACATGATTAAAAAAATATATATTTTTTTTTGTAAAATTATAGAAAGAAAATTAAAGAGGTTGAGGTTTTTTACAAGATCGGTACTTGATCTCGATCGCTATTTATTATCGATATTTATTATCGTCATCGTTACTTAAATAAAGTCCAGAAATGGAAATTAATTTATTGTCATGATCTTTCGACATTGAATTTCCTTTTTTTTCATTGTATAACGAATGATATTTTCTTTATATTACCAATTTTCATTTTGCAAAAATTTTAAGTTTTTTCCCAAAATGCGCATAAATTTTTATTTCAAATAAATACATTTATTTCCAAAAATAGATATAAAATGAAACTTTTTAAATTTTGATAAATTTTTTTAGATGAAGATAATAATGTACACACTAAATAATAATAATATACATGCAAAAATAAAGAAATAAATTGATAAATAACTATGAAAAAAATAAATTGATAAATAACTATGAAAAAAATAAATTGATAAATAACTATGAAAAAAATTAGCTAATTTACATGACACTGCACTCATAATGATAATTAATCAACATGATATTGTGCAATAAAATCGAAATGCTTTCCATCCGAAGAATGTACTAATTTCCAATCACCCTTTTGATCAACTTTTGTATCAAGCCCATAAGTAAAACTTCTATCTTGACATCTCGATATTTTGTGAAATTTGCGGATATTTTTCTCCGGAGAAAATAAAGAGAATTCGGGATGTTGTTCTTCTTCCATATCAAATATTGTGAATTCAAATTTATATCCTTTATTGTATTTTAGGTTTAAATGAGTTGGCTTTTCGATGGTAAATTTGAATGGAACTCTGAAGGTCTTGACAAATGGACTATAATTTTTTCCGCTTCCTTTGTTTACGACCCTGAAACATGCGGCTAATGGACCCTATAGACAGAATAGGAAAATTAAAAAAAAAGTCAATTGATTAATTATAGGAATTTAATAAAGAGAAAAATCAATTGATCAATTATAGGAATTTAATAAAAAAGTTAATTGATCAATTATGGGTATTAAATAAAAAGATATCTTACCTTGTTACCTTCAAACATCACATATATTTCAAGTTTTCCTTCACCACGACTTGGACACGCAGTTTGCAGCCTATAGACTTTTCCTGAACTTGCATCATATCCAACCACTCTTTGAATCAAGACTTCAACCTTTTTATTATTCCATAAAAGTACTGCATGCAATGGTTGACCTTCATCAGGATGATATCTTGCAATTTCAAAATCGATCAAGTCATCATTAGTAGTAATAGTATGTCCAATGTATTCACGGAATTCCATGCCAGCAGCAAAGAATGGTGGTTTAACATTATTCAAATTAAGGAATTCTTCTTTAGTAAGCGGAGGAGACAAATATTGTTCCTTTTCATCATCAGGTAAGTGAGTGAATATGAAAGAGGATGGACGTGTGAGGAAATAAAATGGTTCAAAACGTTTTACAAATTCGTTGTCAGTTAAATGTCCAGCACCCCAAGTGCTATCGATAAAAAGAAATTCTCCTTTATATATAGTACAATTCCACGCGTGAGCATATTTTTTATTATCAATAGTATCACCAGGTACATAGTGGACGCCTGATTTTTGGTCACGTGATTAGGTTAAGATAATGAAGACCACAAATTAATATCACTAATATCAAAACAAACCTTTGGCTTTGCCCGTAACTTTCCAAACTTTCAATCCAGCATTACTAGCCAATTCAATAAATAATTCTGCGAATCCATCACAAACACATTTACGTTTTTTCAAAGCTTCCTCAGCACTACAATGTTTGATGTTTCCTATTAGGAAAAAAAAACTTTTTTTTTAATAAGAAAATATAATAAATTGCATTCAAGAAATCTTATTGTACCTGAAAAGAAGGCTTCGGTATCATATGAGATGTTCTCAGCAATCCAAACATAAATTGAACGTAATTTATCTAAAGGATTGTTCCAACGAGAAGTAAGATGCTTGGACAAACGTGCTAAAGAACTAGTTTCGTGTTCAGGAGTGGCACGTGCGTAGGAATCCACCCTTGAAAAGTCATGACCTACATAGAGATACAAAAAGAGTTACACGGCAGCAATGATGCAGGGGAAATTAAATTCATTGTTAATTTCTTCATAACGTTAATTTCATTTGACAATGATATGACGTTATTTAAAACTATTACCGATAAGGTCAAGATGTTCCTTGAACTCGTCTCCCAATACAATAGGCGAGCAAGTACTAAATTAGAAAGAAATGTTAACAGAGAGACGTTCTCAAGAAAATGAGAAAATTCCAACAATACAAACCTTGCCGGATCAACTCTGCCTTGGGATTCATCATCAGTACATAACTTTCCTTCAGGCTTGGCAGAGGGAGGAGGCTTAGTTTTAGTAGCTTCTTCTTCAGTGTGCTTTGCAGGTGCAAGTTTAGTCTTGTTAGTCTCTTCTCCAGTAAAAGCCTTGGAGGTGACAGGTTTACCTGTTATTCAAGTACAAAAAGTTAAAATAATAAGAAAAAAAAATAACAATAATAATAAATAATAAATAAATAAATAAATAATTTACCACTTTCCGTTTTTGTGGGCGTTACGGTAGTGGTAGTCTTGCCAGCGGGTGCTGTAGTCGAGTGTGTTTTGGTAGCTGAACCATCTCGAACGCTATTAGCGTTCAATGACATGCGCCTCGAGAGATCGGAAAAAAAGTCTCCCCACTTAGACATTTTTTTCGTTTTTTAATCAATACAATTTTGTTTTTTTTAATCAATACAATTTTTTTTCTTTTTTAAGACTATAATGATTTTATGATGAAGAATGATATGTTAAAATTTTGATTCTTAAAGTCCTTTGAAGCTTGCTTTTATAGAGCTGGATGTCTATTAAGCGTTGATTTTAAAATGGGGAAACCCTTGTTACATAATTATCAAATCACAAAATCAGCCAAGATTCAATTTTTTAGTGCTTTACCTGAGATTCCTTTTTGAGCAAGACTTACAATTTGCCTAATATAAGTTGATCATTACCCAGACGCAACGATTCCTGATTTGACAAATTCGTGTGCTTGAGTTCAAGCATTTTCTAGTTTAGATAATCACGCATACAATCGGTTTCTTTGTCATTAAACGTTAATTTTCATAAACAGATAAGTATTTATTGAAGGGACCTGCATGAAAAATTTCCTGTTAACTAAATTACCACTTATTCTATGCATAATTCTCAAGGATATTTCTTTATTGAAATTTAAACAATCAGAATTTTAGGCACTAATATAAGGTTCACTTTAATGCGGGAAAAAAATATATATGGCTGTTTCTAGGAAGGCTTTACGCAAGCGCATAATTATTTTAATGTATTTATGTAGGAATTTGACAGAACCATCTTTTTTAAGTATATAAATATTCATTCAATTGAAATTGAGCACATTTTGTTGGGGATAACTTTTAATAGAAAAATCTAGAAATAAATCAAGTCATTGGCGTTAACGTTAATTTTATACGTAGTAACAGTAATTAAAGAACATACGATAAATTTCAAATCAAAACTTCACTGAATGATTATGCTTATTGAAAATATGTTACCTCATGACAAAGACTACCGCCAAATGTAACAAACAATTTTTATCGCCTGGGATGATTATGTCATGAGGTGGATACAGTGTATCAAAAAGTAAAAATTACGGCTTAAAGATTACAATTCAAGTTTATCAAACGCCTCTCAACGATTTGTAAGCCTCATGTTCTCGTCACGCTTGAGTATACATTTTTTGTTAGGTTAAATTTCACGCTAACATGAGTCTTCTGAAAGTTCTACAAGGATGCTACAATAACATGCATTAGGATTACTACAGGTAATTCTGCGAAGGTTCCAATAGCATACAGAATTCTTTGGTTAGCGATACTCTTTCTCATAATGGTTAAATATTCGAATACGTGTTCTCTGTGCAACGGAGAGATTGTGTCGGTTGGGAGGTAATATTTTGTTTCACCAATTTTAAAACAAATAATCTTGAAGTCCGGACCGTTAAATCTATGTTTAGATCATAATTATCACTTGTTTTTAATTACATAATAAAAAAAACATTTGTCTAACCCCGGGTAGAAATTATCATCATATTGCTATAACAAATTACCCAAGTAATTTAAAAATTCCCGGGTAGAAATTTTCTTTGACAGGTACACTGTGGCGTAGCAATCCTAGTTGATCAAAATTTATTACGTATCACGTAACTAACGTTTGATCGGCTTAATCGATTTTCAAATTGATAGATTCTCATCCTGATGCGCAGGATCTTGAAATCTGATTGGCCAGTAATTTCATGGGCTAATTCGTCTGATTGGCTGGTGTAAATCGATTGCCCGGGTAACTTTATTTATACACTTTAAAGTACCGTAAAAGTCGGACACGTGTACCCCGGGTATTTTCATTTCTCAAATTTGTACCCGGGGTACCTCTATACGGGGGTACACCGTATTGAGACTATGTTTTTACAACAGGAGGGACCGTCCCGAGTATGCCCCGAGTTTGCAGATCGTTACACAAGCGATTCAATTGATTTAAAGTTTTTTT